ATTCTCCATGGAACTCAAATATATCAACTACTCCGTAGGTTTCGTTTTTCCCTTGAGACTTCTGTCCCAGGTAAGTACTCTATCCCTACCACTTCCCAATTCTGCACTCGTTTGTACTGGACTTCTGCCAGTTGTTTTCTGGGATGCCCTTTTGTGTTTTGCTATCATGTATTGGATCTGTGGTTTCTGGATGTCATGTATTCTTTGCATTTTGGGGGGAGCACATTAGCTTTAATATCTTGAAAATCCAAAAGTATCTGTATTTTACCTCTCTGCTTGCTTGGTAATTTGGGTGTATAATTCAAGGTCTGGAAAATACAGCCTTCAGAATTATAAAGGAGCTACTTCATTGTCTTCTAGTTTCCATTTAGCTATTAAGAAGTCAAATGTCTTTTTTTTTTCTTCTTCAATATTTTAAACATCTTCTCTTTCTTCCAAGTGATCTGAAAAGATGTACCTTGATCTGGGCCTCTTTGCTTTCATTCATTTGGTACTGGATAAGACTGTTCAATCTGGAAATCCATACTCTTCATGTTGAGGATACCTCCCCTTCTCCTCTGATTATTCCTGGTTTTTTTTTTCTTTAGCTCTTTGCCACTTATACAGTGGATTCCCTAGACTGACAACCTAATTTTCTCATATGTTTTTATATTTTGCTTTATTTTTAGGATATTAAAAAATATTCCCAACCACTGTATTAGATTTTGGGGGGCTATTGCATTTTCAGATTCCAAGGTGGATTTGTATATATTTGTATGTACAGAAGTCCTCCCTTGTGTGTGCAGCATGTTTTGAGACCACCCCCCAAAACTGGATAGTACCAAATCTTACATATATGATATTTTCCTTTTGTTCTACTTCATTTTATGGCATTGCTGCTCAGCTGTGATTGATTTTGCTGCCCCCATTCAGGTAGTATTTGGCAATATTTGGAGCCGTTTTTGACTGTCATACTGGGAATACAGGTTGCTACTAACACCAAGCAGCAAGAGGTCAAGTATACTGCTTAATATCTTATAACACACAGGAAAACTCTTGCAACAAAGAATTATCGGGCTCTAATGTCAATAATGTCAAAGTGGAAAAGCTATTCTGGGAAAACTAAAGGCCAAAACTTCTTCCCCTTAATACGTAGCAGTTAGAGTATAAATTCCTCCTACCTACTCAGCTTGGCTGTGTGCATGCGCACTCTAAGTAACAAGAATAGGATTGATTTAACTTATTACTCCTCCTTTCTATACCAAACCAACACAGTTGTTATGGTTTAGATGTACATGTCCCCCAAAAGTCTCATGTTCAGAGGTGGGGTTTTTAGAAGGTAATTGGGATCATGGTGGCCCTATACTCCATAGTTGAATTCACTGCTAAATCCATACTGACTGTGCTATAGGTAGTGGGGCCTGGGAAGAAGAGTCATTTTACTGGGAGAATGACTTGGAAGTGTTTATCTCTCTCTCCAGCTCCTCCTTCTCTTTCTGCTTCTTGGCTTCTTGAGTATCTTTCTTCTTCCAGACCCTTCCACCATTCCCTTCCTTCATTGGAGCCAGCTGACTAAATCCTCTAAAAACCGTGAGCCAAAATATAGCCCACCTCCTTTAATCTTGAGTGTCAGATATCTTGTCCCAGTGATCAGAAAAGTGACTAAGATGGTCATTTTGAAGCTGAAATGGGGAGACGTACAGTAGTAAAAATTATTTTTTATTATTAGATTTATTATTGTTAAGTTGGTGACTCAGTTGTTGCCATAAGTGGGTCTTTATTGGTGACTGAATTTAATATGATTGGCTAAAATGGTGGGGGCAGCACTGATAAGAATTAGTGATATGATCAGCATCAATCTGGAAATAAGTCTGTAGTGCCGCAGGGGTCTCACACACCCATGTGGAAAACAGTAATAAAGTATTACCTAAAGGAGTAGGGATTTGATCTTTTCTTCCTGTAATAATAGCAGTGTAGGTGGTTTGCTAATGCTTACAGGTGTTAAAAACAAATAGGGTAATCTTGGGGTTATGCTAGTGACATATCCAGTGGGTATTGGATTTGCCTGTCATTTTTTAAAGCATGAACTGCAACTGAGAACCTTCCAACATTATCATTCTTTTGAAGAGAGGAAACATGGTGGGTTATAGTTGCTTGAAATTATTATCATAGTGAGAAAGCTAAGGTCAGTAATTAAGAGGAAAGGAGTAAAATGACTAGAAATATATAGGTTTAGGGGCAAGATGAGTTTAGTGTTGGATGTTAATAAAGTAGTTATCTAGGCCAAGTAATTTAAGGTACAGTACAGAAACAAAATTGGAATTCAAGAAAGATCTGGTTGCAGATAAGGAAATATAAGTCATCAGATGTAGTTAGATGTTAAAGCTACAAGAATGTATGGTATCATCCTCAAGGCATTTCTTTTCTTTGCTCTCATTCCCAGGTCACCAAAGAACCTTCTGACATTAGTGTGATTTCCCTACTAGGAAGAGAATGCTTCACTAGCCAATCTAAATATATTGCTTTCTCTTTGGTGGTTTTATTTCTTACTGTAAGCACTGTAAATTAGTAAATTGGAAAGAAAAGTAAAAGTGGAAGGAAAATCGAGAAAGTGAGGTAAAAATGGCTATAGAGGAAAGAAGGGAAGGCTTTCTTGAGTGGTTTGGACTTATTCTAAAGTGGGCTTGAAG